CGAGGGCCACAATGGGTTCTTAAACTGGACCGGAGGGCCGGAACAAAAGCATGGATGGAGTGTTTGTGTGAACTAATATAAATTCAAAGTAAACATCATTACATAAAAGGGTACCGTCTTTTTTTTTTTTAGTTTTATTCATTTCAAACGGGCCAGATCCGGCCCGCGGGCCATAGTTTGCCCACGGCTGGCAGTGTAGTGAAGACTTGACATAGGTGTGGCCTATGCTACCGATTTTTTTTCCTAAACCATTTCAGTTTTTATATATCATCTGTAATTTGGTGGACCACAAAATCAGGCAGAGAGGGACTTGGAACACAGACCTGCTATAGGTATAAAGCATTCACTAGTCTCCTATCCAGATGAGATTTGGACTTCCATTAACTTGTTTTTGGTGGTGTTTTTTCTTACCAATGAAGCATTGTACCTGAGCCCCTGCCCTTAGCTTTGAGCATTGATAAGAACTATATACTGGAAAAGCCTAGAGCAGTGGTTCTCAACCTGTGGGTCGCGATCCCTTTGGGGGTCGAACGACCCTTTCACAGGGGTCGCCTAAGACCATCGGAAAACACATATATAATTACATATTGTTTTTGTGATTAATCACTATGCTTTAATTATGTTCAATTTCTAACAATGAAATTGGGGTACCACAACATGAGGAACTGTATTAAAGGGTCACGGCATTAGGAAGGTTGAGAACCACTGGCCTAGAGGTTTAACTGCTTACTCAGGAGTGACAAAGCTGGAGCTGTTCATTCTGAAATCCTTAAGTGTTTATCCAAATCAAAAGTAAGGACGAGACCTAAGATAATCCCATACTGCCTGAATCTGATTGGTTATTGGTTGATATTAAAAATAGAACCACAGAAGTTATAGAGACTGTAATATCTCAGTTCTCCAATAAAAGGAAATAACTTCTAAATAAATGAATTTTCTAGCTCCATAAAACTGTATACCAGAGATTAAAACGCAACAATTTTCATGTAATGTTTCTTAAATATATGCTTGAATTTTTTTTTAAGCAGTGTAATGAGCCTGTTAGTTAACCTTTCATTTGTAGTGTGTTTCTGGATCATCATTTTCAATACTAATTTTTCTACTATATTCATCAGTATAGTGATGCCAGTGAGATGATACTCTGTTCATGCCCTAAAAAAACAAGAGTGCTAATTATGTACTAGATACTAGGATAGGCATTTTAATATAAATGTTCAGTTATTACAACATCCCTATGAGGTATTATTTTTTCCAACCATAAGTCTTGGTGTATTGAATTTTTTAAAAAATCCTCACCCAAGGATATGTTTTTGTTATATATATATGTATATATATATTTTACAGAGAGGAAGGGAGAGGGATAGGGAGTTAGAAACATCGATGAGAGAGAAACATCGATCAGCTGCCTCCTGCACACTCCCCACTGGGTATGTGCCTGCAACCAAGGTACATGCCCCTGACTGGAATCGAACCCGGGACCCTTGAGTCCGCAGGCCGACGCTCTATCCACTGAGCCAAACCGGTCAGGGCCAAGGATATGTTTTTATTGATTTTAGAGAGAGAGAGGAAGGGAGAGAGAAACATCTATCAGTTGCCTACCATATGAACCTGAAACATTTTGGTATATAGGACAATGCTCCAGCCAACTGAGCCACACGACCAGGGTGTATTGGTTCTTTGATTGGATAGTTGTGGTCTTTTCCTGCACCCAGCAAGACATCTAGATTTATTATAATGTAAAATCTTTTCATTTTAAAATTTTTACATACGTATATGAATATGTTTGTTAGACTAGGAATCAAACAAGCTATCTGTGGGCTGCATCCAGGCTAATTTAAACTTTTTGGAATGATAATGTGGTCTGCACTACCAACTACCCTTCACCCCACTTCTGGGAGGTGTTTGTTTTGATGAGGTTTATTGGGGCTTGGCAACAGGATACAAAAAGAAAAGAAAAAAGCTCTCACATTGCATTTTATAGGAGGAACCAAGGTATTGGGAAGCAGGGAGGAAACATTTTTAACTATACTCAAAGTGTACTATTTGTTTTATTGTGAGTTTTTCTTGCTGTCAATGTATGACTGCTTTGACCCATAATTGTCTTGGTGGTGTTCTGAGTGGCATTTCCCCTCTACTACCGTTGTTCCCCCATTTCCTGAGTGTTGTATAGACCACCTTTTTGTCAGTATATTTGGTGCATCTGTTAGTGTCTGGATACACAGATCTATCTCATCTAAAAGTAGAATAATATTCCACTATATGTTTAATTCACACAGTACATTGTGGCACTTCTCAAAACTTTTTCCTCAGGATACACTTAAAATTGAGGACCCCCAAAAGCTTTTGTTTATGTAGGTTGTATCTATTGATATTTACCATATTAGAAATTAAAACTAAGACTTTCAAGAGCTTTTCTAAAAAGAAATTTAATGAAAAAGAGTGTCATTATTTTATAGTTTTACAAATCTCTTTAGTGCCTGGCTTAATGTTTTTAAAAGGATGATTCTCCTCTTCATTTAGCCTGTTACAATATCACAGTATGGACACTAAGAAAAATAAGGATAGAAAATTCAAATCACCTTTTAGTAATCCTATATAATAAAAGCCTAATATAGTAAGTGTCTGGTTGACCTGTCGGCTGTTCAACCAATCAGAGCGTAATCCTATATAATAAAAGGGCGCTCTATCCACTGAGCCAAACCGGTCAGGGCCAAGGATATGTTTTTATTTATGCTAATGATATGCTAAGGCTGCTCAACTGCTGGCTATGATGAGCACTGACCACCAGGGGGAAGACAGTTGACCGGTCGACCAGTCGCTATGACGTGCACTGACCCCCAGGGGGCAGATGCTCCGATGGGTAGGTTAGCTTGCTGCTAGGGTCCAGCCAATCGGGACTGAGCGAGATGGGCTGGACACGCCCTGAAGCCCTCCATGGTCCCTCCCTGGCCTGATCATGTACCAGTGGGGTCCCTCAGGTTGGCCTGTGCCCTCTCTCAATCCGGGACCCCTCGGAGGATGTCGGAGAGCCGGTTTCAGCCTAATCCCACAGGCCAGTCCCCTTAGGAGGGCGCCAGACGCAGGGCTCATGACTGGCGAGCGCTGCTGCGATAGCAGGAGCCTCTCCTAATCGGGACTGATTGGGCGCGAGCCCGTGGTAGGCACAGTGGGGCCAGGATGAGCGGGAGTGGCAGGTAGGAGCTGCAGGAGCGTGGGACCTGCGGGTTTCGGCCTGATCCCTGCAGACCACCCAGAGGGACCCCACCCGTGCACGAATTCGTGCACTGGGCCTCTAGTATTATAATGATATGCTAAGGCTGCTCAACCGCTCGCTATGATGTGCACTGACCACTAGGGGGCAGACGCTCCGACCTGTAGGTTAGCTTGCTGCTGGGGTCTGGCCCATCAGAGAGCTTGACAGGCCGGACACCCCCTGGAGTCCTCCCAACAGTCCCTTCCCGGGCCGGCCAGCCTCCCGTGTCTCTCCCCGCCCCGGTCGTGCACTGGTGGGGTCCCTTAGCCTGGCCTGCTCCCTCTCGCAATCCAGGACCCCTCGGGGGATGTC